CTATTTCACATAACCTAATGATCTGCAGTTCTATCCCTATTGTTGCTGAATATTTTCTGTTATCTTATGTATACTGGTTTTCTTCATCCTTGCATCAGTTGATGGACTGACACGTTGTTTCCATTTCTTAGTTATTTTGAATAGTGCTGCAATTTATATGGGTGTGCTGTGTCTCTTTGAAATACTGATTCCATTTTTTTCAAATATATATCCAGTGGTGGGAAAGCAGGATTAAACAGTAGTCGTCATCGTCCTCCTCCCCCTCCCCCTCCCCTCCCCTCCCTCCCCTCCCTCCCCTCCCCTCCCCCTCCCCCCCCTCCCCTCCCTCCCCTCCCCTCCCCCTCCCCCTCCTCCTCCTCCTCCCCCCCCTTTTGTGGAAGCTCTATACTATTTTCCACAGTTGCTGTACTAATTTACATTCTTACCAAGACCATACAAGTTTGCCCCTTACTCCTCATCCTCACCATCACTTGGGGTCTTACCTTACTAGAGTGAGGTGGTATCTCACTGTGGTTTTGATTGTTATCCATAGCTACCCTACCATGTGACAGCACAACAGAACTTCTTACCATTACCTAAAAGTAACTTAGTACCCATGATCAGCTTTCCTCTGCGCTACTCTCCCTGCTTTTGGTAACCACCATTCTACTTTCAGTTTCTAGGTGATCACCACCTCCAGAGTCCCACATCTGAATCCCTGAGGATTAGTTGATATTGAATATTTTTAATAAACTTGCTGGTCATTTGTATGTTTTCTCTTGAGAAATGTTTGTTTAGGTCTATTGTCCATTTTTAAACCAAGTTATTCTATTTTTTATGTCATTCAGTTTTTTAAGTTCTTTATATAATTTGGGTATGTTCCTTATCAGATATTTAGTTTGCAAATACTTCCATTTTGTATATCTCCTCTGATAATTATTTCATTTGTTGTACATAAACTTTTAAAATTTTATGTAGTTCCATTTGTCTATGTTTGCTTTTGTTCCCTGTGCTTTTGGGGTCCAATCCATTTCAAAGACCTAAAGTATTTCCCCTGGGTTTCCTCTAGTGGTTTCATTGTTTCAAGTCTTACATTAAAGTCTTCAATCCTTTTTGAGTTTATTTTTGTGACTAGTGAGAGATAGGGTCTAGTTTAATTTTTCTGCATGGATATCCATTTCCCTAGCCCCATTCATTGAAAAGACTTTCATTAACCCATTGGGTATTATTTGCACCTTTGTTGGAAATCAGATGTCTGTACATGTGTGGGTTTACTACTGTGCTCTCTATTCTTTCATTGGGCTATATGTCTGTTTTTATCCCAATGCCATGTTTTTGTGAAGACTACAGTTTGTAGCATTTTTGCCTCCAGCTTGGTTCTTTCATGGTCAGAAAAGACACTTTATATGATTTCAATTTCTCAGAATTTGTTGAGTTAAATCATATGCCTACCATATGGTTTATCCAGAGGAATGTTACATGTACTGATGAGAATAGGTATTCTACAGGTGTTAGATGAAATGTCATGTAGATATCTGTTAGATATTTGGTCTAGGGTACAATTAACTCTGCTGTTTCTTTGCTGATTTCCTGTCCAGAAGATCTGTCTATTGCTGCAAGTGGAATAGTGAAGTTTCCAATTATTACTGTTTTGGAGTATATCTCTCCTTTTAGGTCTATTTCGATTTGCTTTGTTATGTGGGTACTCTGATATTGGTGTATGTATATTAATTTCAATTCTAATAATTTAGAATTATTATTTCTTGTGTTGAATTGACCCCTTTATCATGACATAGTGACCTTTCTTGACTAACTTAACTACTTTTATTTTAAAGTCTATTATATCTGATATAAATATGGCTATTCCTTCTTTTTTTGAATTCTATTTGATTAGAATATTTTATTCTGTCCCTTTAGTTTCAGTCTATTTGTGTCCTCAGAGGCGAACTGAGTTCCTTATAAGCAGTATCAGTTGGGTCTTGTTTTTGGTCCTTTCAGTCATGTTATGGTATGTAATTTATGTATGTATGTATTTTTGGTACCAGGGATTAAACCCAGGGGTGCTTAACCACTGAGTGACATGCCCAGCCCGTTTTATTTTTTATTTTGAGACAGGCTCTCACTAAGTTGCTGAGGCTGGCTTTAAACTTGCAATCCTTCTGCCTCGGCTCCCTGAGCCACTGTGATTATAGGGGTGCACCACTGTGCCTGGCCTACGTTTTTATATTGGAGAATTAAATGCATTTATGTTTAAGGTAATTATATTTCTAGTTTTATTGCAGTTTCTTTCTCTCTTTTTTTTCCTTCCTCTTTTACAGTCTTCCTTTGTGGTTAAGTGATTTACTCTAGCAGTGTGCTTTGATTTCTTGCTTATTATTTTTGGTTTGTCTGTAATAATTTTTGTTTTGTGGTTACCATGGGGCTTATAAAAACCTTCTTTGATTATAATGAGCTATTTTAAAATGATAGCAACTTAACATGATCATAAAGTGAGGAAATACAACAAGAAATGAAATAGAAAATATACTAAAACAAAATCTGCACTTGCATGCCATTCCTCTATACATTTTGAATTTTTTGATGTCTAATTTTCATTTGGTATATTGCCTATCTCTTCATGTATTTTTTAATTGTTTTGTTTTTAGGATTAATTATTAATATAAAAGAATTTTCCCACCATGTTTACGATACCAGAGCATTTTGAATTTGTCTTTATATTTACTCTTGCAGTGAATTTGTTCCTTCTCATATTTTCTTATTTATTACTGCCTCTTAATTTTAGTTCTTTCAGTTAGAAGAACCCCCTTTAGTATGACTGAGATATGACATCTCAGCTTTTGCTTAGGAATGTCTTTATTTCTCCTTCATTCCTAAAAAAAAAAAAAAAAAAAAAAAAAAGTTTTGCTGGGCATAGTATTCTTGGTAAGCAGTTTTTTGTTGTTGTTGTTGTTGTTGTTGTTTTTCTATCAGTACTGTGAAAATTTCATGCCACTCTTGGTCTGTAAGATTCTGTTCAGAAGTCTGCTGTTGGATAACCTGGGACACTCTTATGTGTTATTTGTTTCTTCATTTGCTGCCTTGAGAATCTTCTCTTCATCTTTCACCTTTAATAACCTGATTATAATACATCTTGGCACAGAACTGGTTGTGCTAAATTAGAATAGTGACATTTGACCTTCTTTTACCAGGATACTTGTATCCTTCTCTAGACCTGAGGATGGTTTTTATTATTATGTCTTAGAATAAACTTTTTTAAAATTTTATTTTATTTTTTTACACAAATGGAGCACAACTTTTCATTTCTCTGGTTGTACATGATGTAGAGTCATACCATTTGTGCAACCATACCTATACATAGGGTAATAATGCTCCAAATTGGGAGTTAAGTAATAAAGATAGTTCCTTCACTGCCACAGTTCATGCTAAACTAGGTTCCACTTGCATCTCATAGCCACAGGAACCTTTGCAGTCAGGTGAGCTAGAGGAGGCCAATGCCCCAAGCCCATTCCAAGGCTGGAACTGATATAGGCCAAAAATTCAGCCCATTCTACTGTCATGTAGGTCTCCTCCTAATGTCAGAGCAGGTCTAGATGCTCTGTCTTTGACTTGTGGCATGGCCATGGGGCCTTTGAATTCTACCCCTAGGTTTCATTGCAGTGGAATCAGATAAGATAAAATCCTGGTTTGATTGTTACACACTGTATACATGCATTGAAATAACATACCATAGCATATAAATACATATCATCATTATTTGTGAATTAAATTTTTAAAAAATTCTGTTTAAATCCTCCCAGAACACCTGTTCCCTGCCAGACAGACTCATAGAACTCATTCAGTGAGGATTTTAAGATGCTGTCTGGAATAGAAGTTCAATAGATGGGTACCACATGTCTCCTCCTGACATTGGGGTTCCTCTAGAGGCTGTGGTGGTTTTGATGTCCTATTTCCTAGTAGTAGTTTTCATGTCCTGCTTGAAATCCTGTGGTGGTTTTGATGTCCTGCTTCCTGGTAGCTTGAGTCTTGATCCTCTTTCTATTGCCCAAGGTAGGGCAAGGGGTGGTGGAAACAGTCAGCCACCTGGCTAATGCAGTTCCATCACCTATGACAATTGTTACTGGCCTGGGCATGGGGATCATGGGGCTTTGCTTGGCACTGGGTTTTGCTATAATAGATTTGGTACTGGCTTTCAAGTCCAAGGCCTGGACTTAATTCTTTCCCCTTTTCCCAAGCATGTAGTGTCTCTTTTCACACTTTTTGAAGTTATATGGGAAGGGTGACACTGGCAACTCTTCCCTTCCTACCTACCGCCATGTATCTTTTCTTATTTTCCTAAAACCAGGCACTATGAACTCTCATTGGTGTTTCTTGTCTCTTGTAAAGATAGTGTAGTGGGCAGATAGCTGTCCAAACTGCTATGTCAATGAGGTGATTATTGCTTAAGCATCTGGTTCTGTCTTTGTGCATTTATATTTAGTGGTAAGACTGTTCTTAAGCAGTGCAGAGTTGGGGCATTATAGACGTCATTATCTAGGAGTGACTGGGCCTTAAGAGAAACTTGTACAGGTGTAAAATGAAGTGTGCAGAGGAAAGTATGGTATTAAAATGCTACCACAGCCACACTGTAAAGTGGAGCTATGCTTATTTATTATTTAAAAGTTAGTAAAAATACAAGTTTATAATTACTGTTAGTATAAATGTTCACTCTTGATGAATAGCTCACTTGCTATTTCTTAATCCAAAATTTTGCATTATATAAGTTCACATTTACACACTTTGATTCCTTTCATTTATAATTTCAATGGTTTTGGTATTATTCTCATCTACTCTTAATAAAGAACATGCATGTGAACTTAAATCCACAAAAAATCAAAATGTATTTTGAGTCATTTTTTTAATGTATTGTGTTCTTCTTGATACATAAAGGACCTACTGCATTTGACACTAAATCACTTAATACAAAGCAGAAGAGCACAGATAAAATTAAAATAATCTAATCAACTATATATAAATAAACTGACCTTCTTAAAATTTTTGTTTAAGTCAACCAGACTGAGCAGGAAAATGTGGTCCTTGGCTCCCAGAAGCAGCTTACCCCTCTCTTCATCTAACAGAATAGTCTGGAAATCCAGCCCTTCTGATGAACCCAAAAATGGAATGCAGCTATTTGACAGCAGCAAATCTATGGGAAAAAATGAAAGAAAAAAATTTTATTAGGCAAAACATTTACTTCTCTCTCTCTCTCTCCTTTCTCTCTCTCTCTGTGTGTGCAAATACATGTATATAACATGAAAGTTCCAATTAAAATACTTACAAATAATTACAGTTTTTAATATATACTCATTTAGAAATAAGTGAGATGTATGATATTTTTATTTTATCAATACCTTTTTATGTATAATTATATGATATTCAGCACCATATTAAAATGTAGATCAAATATATAAACACAAAACAATTAAATGCAAAATAGTTTAAACCTATTCTCATTTTCTTGAATTACAATTTAAAATATCTACCTATAAGAATATTTGAAACTTGATAAAATTGATACATACAAAGCAGGGATCAAACTATGTCACAAATCTTAACATTTCGTTCCTTTTTACATTTTAAAATAGACCTGATTTATTAGAGCATTTTAAAATTAACAGTGACATTGATTGAAAGAAACAGATTTACATTTATTTCCTGCCCCAACACATATATGGCCTCCCCATTATCAACATCTTCCACTATAGTGGCACATTTCTTACAATCAATGAGCCTACATTAGCATCATTATCACTCAAGGTATATAGTTTAGGGTTCAATCTTGATATTGTACATCTTATAGGTTTGGATAAATGTATAATGGCATGTATCTATCATCATAGTATATCCTGAAAGTCTTGTGTGCTTCTGTGCTCTCCCTATTCATCCTTCTCGCCTGCCCCCAATCATTCATCTTTTTCATGTCTCCATAGTTTTGTCTTATCAGAATGTCATATAATTGGAATTGTACAGTATGCTGCCATTTCCTACTGGCTTCTTTTACTCAGTAATATGCATTTCAGCTTCCTCTGTGTCTTCTTGGGTCACTGTCTAATATCTTTTACTGTGGACTAATATCCCTTTGTCTGGATCAGCGAGTTTAATTATCCATTCACTTTTTGAAGGACATTTCTATTGCTTTCAAGTTTTGGCAATTATGAATAAAGCTGCTATAAACATCTGTATGTGGGACAGTTGTAAACACAAGTCTTCAACTTTTGGAGGTAAAAACCAAGAAGTCTGATTGATGGATCACATGTTTAGTTTTATGAGAAGCTGCCCACTGGCTTCTAAGATCCCAGTACCATTTTCATTTACACCAATGATTGAGTGTTCTAATTGCTCCATATCTTCATCTGCACCCATGTTGTCAGTGTTCTCGATTTTGGCCATTTTAATAAGTATATAGTGATAACTTACTGTTGTTTCAAATTTGCATTTACTTGGTTACATAACGTATAGAGTGACTTCTTTTCTTTTTTTTTTTTTTTTCAGGACAAATATCTACTACAATTTAATGGAGTGAAGAATGACCTTTTCAATTAATGTTGATGGATCAATTGAATATCTAGGGGGAAAGAGTAGCTGTTTTTTTTTTTTTTATTGGTTGTTCAAAACAATATAAAGCTCTTGACATATCATATTTCATACATTAGATTCAAGTTGGTTATGAACTCCCAATTTTACCCCAAATACAGATTGCAGAATCACATCGGTTACACATCCACATTTTTACATAATGCCCTATTAGTAACTGTTGTATTCTGCTACCTTTCCTATCCTCTACCATCCCCCCTCCCTCCCCTCCCATCTTCTCTCTCTACCCCATCCACTGTAATTCATATCTCTCCTTGTTTATTTTCCCATTCCCCTCACAACCTCTTATATGTAATTTTGTATAACAATGAAGGTCTCCCTCCATTACCATGCAATTTCCTTTTTCTCTCCCTTTCCATCCCACCTCATGTATCTGTTTAATGTTAATCTTTTCTTCCTGCTCTTCCTCCCTGCTCTGTTCTTAGTTGCTCTCATTATATCAAAGAAGACATTTGGTATTTGTTTTTTTAGGGATTGGCTAGCTTCACTAAGCATAATCTGCCCTAGTGCCATCCATTTCCCTGCAAATTCTATGATTTTGTCATTTTTTAGTGCTGCGTAATACTCCATGGTGTATAAATGCCACATTTTTTTTATCCATTCATCTATTGAAGGGCATCTGGGTTGGTTCCACAGTCTAGCAATTGTGAATTGTGCTGCTATGAACATCGATGTAGCAGTATCCCTGTAGTACGCTCTTTTAAGGTCTTCAGGGAAAAGTCCAAGAAGGGCAATAGCTGGGTCAAATGGTGGTTCCATTCCCAGCTTTCCCAGGAATCTCCATACTGCTTTCCAGATTGGCCGCACCAGTTTGCAGTCCCACCAGCAATGTACAAGAGTACCCTTTTCCCCACATCCTCTCCAGCACTTGTTGTTGTTTGACTTCATAATGGCTGCCAATCTTACTGGAGTGAGATGGTATCTTAGGGTGGTTTTGATTTGCATTTCTCTGACTGCTAGAGATGGTGAGCATTTTTTCATGTACTTGTTGATTGATTGTATGTCCTCCTCTGAGAAGTGTCTGTTCAGGTCCTTGGCCCATTTGTTGATTGGGTTATTTGTTTTCTTATTGTTTAATTTTTTGAGTTCTTTGTATACTCTGGATATTAGGGCTCTATCTGAAGTGTGAGGAGTAAAAATTTGTTCCCATGCTGTAGGCTCCCTATTTACCTCTTTTATTGTTTCTCTTGCTGAGAGAAAACTTTTCAGTTTAAGTAAGTCCCATTTGTTGATTTTTGTTATCAACTTTTGTGCTATGGGTGTCCTATTAAGGAATTTGGAGCCCGACCCTACAATATGTAGATCGGAGCCAACTTTTTCTTCTATCAGACGCAGAGTCTCTGATTTGATATCTAGCTCCTTAATCCACTTTGAGTTAACTTTTGTGCATGGCGAGAGGAGGGGATTCAGTTTCATTTTGTTGCATATGGATTTCCAGTTTTCCCAGCACCATTTGTTGAAGATGCTATCCTCCATCCATTGCATGCTTTTAGCTCCTTTATCAAATATAAGATAGTTGTAGCTTTGTGGATTAGTCTCTGTGTCCTCTATTCTGTACCATTGGTCCACCCTCCTGTTTTGGTACCAGTACCATGCTGTTTTTGTTACTATTGCTCTGTAATATAGTTTTAAGTCTGGTATCGCTATACCGCCTGATTTGCACTTCCTGCTTAGAATTGCTTTTGCTATTCTGGGTCTTTTATTTTTCCATATGAATTTCATGATTGCTTTATCCATTTCTACAAGAAATGCTGTTGGGATTTTGATTGGCATTGCATTAAACCTATAGAGAACTTTTGGTAATATCGCCATTTTGATGATGTTAGTTCTCCCTATCCATGAACAGGGTATATTTTTCCATCTTCTAAGATCTTCTTCTACTTCTCTTTTTTCATAGTATAAATCTTTCACCTCTTTTGTTAGGTTGATTCCCAAGTATTTTATTTTTTTTGAGGATATTGTGAATGGAGTGTTTTTCCTCATTTCCGTTTCAGAAGTTTTGTCGCTGATATACAGAAATGCCTTTGATTTATGTGTGTTGATTTTATATCCTGCCACTTTGCTGAATTCATTTATTAGTTCTAGTAGTTTTTTTGTACACCCTTTTGGGTCTGCTAGGTATAGAATCATGTCATCTGCAAACAGTGATAATTTAAGTTCTTCCTTTCCTATTTTTATGCCTTTAATTTCTTTCGTCTGTCTAATTGCTCTGGCCAGTGTTTCGAGAACTATATTGAATAGAAGTGGTGATAGAGGGCATCCCTGTCTTGTTCCAGATTTTAGGGGGAATGCCTTCAATTTTTCTCCATTGAGAATGATGCTAGCCTGGGGCTTAGCATAGATAGCTTTTACAATGTCGAGGTAAGTTCCTGTTATCCCTAGTTTTTCTAATGTTTTGAACATAAAGGGATGCTGTACTTTGTCGAATGCTTTTTCTGCGTCTATTGAGATGATCATATGGTTCTTATTTTTAAGTCTATTGATGTGGTGAATAACATTTATTGATTTCCGTATATTGAACCATCCTTGCATCCCAGGGATGAATCCTACTTGATCATGGTGCACAATTTTTTTGATGTGCCTTTGTATCCGATTCGCCAGAATTTTATTGAGGATTTTTGCATCTAGGTTCATCAGAGATATTGGTCTGTAGTTTTCTTTCTTTGAGGTGTCTTTGTCTGGTTTCGGAATCAGGGTGATGTTGGCCTCATAGAATGAATTTGGCAGAGTTCCTTCTTTTTCTATTTCCTGAAATAACTTGAAAAGTATTGGTATTAATTCTTCCTTAAAGGTTTTGTAAAACTGTGCTGTATACCCATCCGGTCCTGGGCTTTTCTTGGTTGGAAGTCTTTTGATTGCTTCTTCTATTTCATCTATTGTTATTGGTCTGTTTAAGTTGCGAGTATCCTACTGACTCAGTCTGGGCAAATCATATGACTTAAGGAATTTATTGATGTCTTCACTATCTTCTATTTTATTGGAATATAGGTTTTCAAAATAATTTCTAATTGTCTTCTGTATTTCTGTAGTGTCTGTTGTGATATTGCCTTTTTCATCCCGTATGTTAGTGATTTGAGTTCTCTCTCTTCTTCTCTTCGTTAGCCTGGCTAAGGGTCTGTCAATCTTATTTATTTTTTCAAAGAACCAACTTTTAGTTTTGTTAATTTTTTCAATAGTTTCTTTTGTTTCAATTTCATTGATTTCCGCTCTGATTTTAATTATTTCTTATTTTCTGCTACATTTGCTGTTGTTTTGCTCTTCCTTTTCTAAGGCTTTGACATGAAGTGTGAGCTCATTTGTTGGTTTTTCCTTTTTTTGAGGAATGACCTCCAAGAGATGAATTTCCCTCTTAAAACTGCTTTCATTGTGTCCCATAGATTCCGATATGTTGTGTCTGTATTTTCATTTATCTCTAAGAATTTTTTGATTTCCTCCTTTATGTCTTCTGTAACCCATTGATCATTCAGTAACATATTGTTCATTTTCCATGTGATGTAGGATTTTTCCTTCCTTCTTTTATCATTGATTTCCAGTTTCATTCCATTATGATCA